ATGCCTAAGGTTGAAAATAAATGATGTTTATAGTGAATGCCCCTATGAATGGTTTTATTTTTACGATTTCGTTTTAATCCAAATGATGCGTGTGCTATAGTGAGTGAACATCAAAGATCACATAACAGAATTGCGCGCGCTCTCTCACTCTCTCTCTCTCTCTCTCTCTGCCGTTAAGTAACTTGTGCATTGTTTTACTTACTTGTTTTTGACATATCCGACCGAACTACAAACTTTCCAGTGATGTCGAGTGAACATGCCTTTCTCACAGACAAGCTCGCACATCTGCACCGCCGTGCGCTCAATCCACTCAGCGTGATTTGTTTATCAGCTTGCGCACATCAGCTATACAGGCGTTAATACTGAATGTTTAATGTTATATTCATTGCATACATATACTTCGTAGTAGACATCCTTAACTCAATTCTGCTGTCTGTTGTTCTGTTGTTGGTTTTTCTTTGTTTTTAATATGGCGCTTATCACATGCTGTGTGGTATCGGCGTTTGGTATCGGGGCATTTTAACGAGTACAGGAGACCAGTATCGGGCCCGATACCAGTATCGGTGCATCCCTAATATTTATATATATATATGTATATGAAGAGTTAATTTTGCAAAAACCGATAAACGGCACTTTAAAAAAAAAAAGAGCTGATTGCTGTGCATTATTCTCCACATATAGTGCGATCTGAACCCTAAACACGTTTTGTCAAAACTCATAAAATGTTTTCTTACTTACACATGCACAGTGAACTTCGCCCAGGGATGAAATCAGTTCAAGTTGTTCTCAGGTACGCCATTCAGCTAAATCATGTCTGTACATCACGTTTTAGAGTCAGAGATGCATTTATTGCATGCTAACATATCCTGTTTTCCTCCTAGAATCTGCTACACAGACTCTATCGGCGTTCAGGAGGACCAATATCCTCCCAACATTGCTGTGAAAGTGAATCAGTCCTACTGTCATGTACCGGTAAGTGTTACGAATTTGATTAGGCTGAGAGAACAGGGAATGTGGTGGTTTCACCACTCTGGAGGATCGTGAGCCTCAATACACCAGAATAAATTTTCTGAATGCGTCTGTTGTGTTTTAAATGGTTTTCTTAGAATGTTGTATAACTTGTTGCTGTAAATTATTAATTCACTTATTTACATTACTACTTTTTGTTCAGGGTTACTATCCCTCCAATAAACCAGGTGTTGAGCCACGTCGGCCCTGTCGACCAGTCAACATCACGCCATGGTTACACCTCTCCACAGTCACTAACAGAGTCACCATCACATGGGGCAACTTTGGAAATGTACAGAGCTATTTTCTTATATCTGTATATGTGAATGAACATGTTAGATGAAGATGAGTGTGTTGTTACTGACCTCTGTGTTTTGGATGCAGCGGTACTCGGTGGCAGTGTACCTGGTGAGGGTGTTCACATCTGGAGAGCTCTTTAACCAGCTGAAGCATTGCTCAGTCGAGAGTCCCGAACGTTGTCGCGAACGCAGTAAGTTTCTCACCTTGGGCAAACACATTGCATGATCAGTGGTTACACTTGAAACCCGGGAAGTGTGATGTATGAAACAATAGTAAAAAAAAAAAAAAGAAAAGCAGTTGAAATTATTTGCATGTGTTTTTTAATGTATTCTCAGGCTTTTAATTAATAAAACTAATTAATCACAACAAAAAAATAGTTCGCTGTATTAGTTCATTGCATTGACTTCCATGATTGATTAATTTAATGTTTTTTTTTGTTCATAAAGGAACCTTTTAACCATTTGCTATGTGGTAGTTTCAATGCCTACTAAAGGATTAGGCAATATAAACATTAAACATTATTGATTTGAATAATACATTCAAAAGTGTGGGATCAGTAAGGTGTTTTTTTTTGCTATCTATAAATTAAGCAGCACAACGGTTTTTAGCATTGATAATATGAAATGTTTGAGCACCAACTCAGCATATTAGAATGATTTCTGAAGGATCATGCGACACTGAAGACTGGAGTAATGATGCTGATAATTCAGCTTTGACATCACATGAATAAATGACATTTTAAAATGATTGTTTTCAATTTTAATATATTTTTAATTTCAAAAATATTTTGCAATACTATATTTTTACTTAAATAAATGCAGCCTGCGTGGGTGCGTTTAGCCTTTTTCTTTAAAACAGTAGTGTGTGTGTGTGTGTGTGTAAATATACATATATACTTAGCATCAATATTATACTGAAACCTTTTTTGTTTGTATGTACACAGTTCAGGACAAGTTGCGCTTTGATCCTGAGAGTGAGATTGCCACTACGGGACTGCGAGTGTCCCTCATCTGTCCTGTAAGTGTCCTGTTTTTGTCTTTTATGTGGACTCTTAGCTGTGGAACCATCGTAGCAATGTTATAGATCTAATAAGTCTTTTCAACACAGCTGGTAAAGATGAGACTTGGAGTGCCATGTCGAGTGCTCACCTGCGCCCACCTGCAGTGTTTTGACGCTGTCTTTTTCCTGCAAATGAATGAAAAGAAACCCACATGGACCTGCCCTGTATGCGACAAACCCGCTCCCTTTGAGCTTCTAACTATTGATGGGTAAGCACAGTTACTTAAACTCCTCGCTTCTCGCAGGCTCTGGCAGTAAAACTCACCAAACGTGACCCATTTCAGGTTGCTGTCCGAGATCCTTAAAGAGACGCCGGAGGATGTGGAGGAGATTGAGTATTTGACTGACGGTTCATGGAGGCCAATCAGGGATGACAAAGAGAAGGAAAGAGAGCGGGAAAACAGCTGCACACCTGACTGTCCTGTGGTGGATATATGTAAGAATGTTTCTTCCTTCTGAAATGTCATTTTCAACACGTTTAACTTGCATAATATTACATTTGAGCAAATCTAATTATTTAATGGGAAATAACGGGTCTTAACTCTCATCCAAGGTGTTCCTGAGGCGAACGGCCACTCCCCAGCACACAGTGGCACAAACCAGACCGGGAAGTCTGGATCGGGTGGTGCATCGGCAGGAACCGGCGGCACCAGTGCCGGGTCGGGAGGCGGAGCCGTGGTGGATCTGACTCTGGATGACTCTTCGGAGGAAGAAGGAGGGGGTGGAGCTGAGGACAGTGAGGACACTGATGACAGCCAGGACAGCCCCGCCCCTAAAAGGGGCAGATATGATTATGACAAAGACCTGGTCACCGCATACTGAGACTGGCAGGACACTAAGACTTGTTGGGGGGGGGTGAGGGTGTAGATGGGATCTGAGCCTTGGAAATTCAAGAAACATGTCCCCGTGTCCTCTCCCAAATGCATACACACATGCACTCACATAGACATGCACACTCATGCGCTGCTGACATCTGGAGCAGTTGGGCATCACATTGACAAACTTGTTGATGCCCCGTAAAGCTATTCCCAATCATTCACAGCATCTTAATACTGTATTCTCCCTTTAAAGACCATGGAAGAGTAACACCACCCTCAGTTCTACTCAATCGTCCTCGACTTCCTCGCCACTTTGTGTTCTGACAGGTTTAAACATCCTGGGCATTTAAGATCTTACCAGTTTTAGTTTTATATGGAGCTGTTCAGACCTTCAAAACATTGTG